GAAGTAGCTATCATTAAAATACTTTAAATACATCTGAGCATCACTGAGCATCGTTGCTTGTTAAGAGTTTTCTTGCTGTTTGTTTTGAGAGATTTAGATTCAATAAAACCATTTATTGGAAGATCATTTTGTATGTATGCATGTAATTTTGTCATGAACATAAACCCATTGTGGGTTTTTGCTGTGTCAGTATGTGTGAGTGCAACATTAGTAATGCATTTAGATACAGACTGAATGTGTTCTGCTTTAACAGAGTGAAAAAGCAGCAGTTAAACAGAAGTTTCCAGTTACTTCATACTTACTGAGCTCTGAGTGAAGACTGGAGCGTTGTCATTGATGTCCGTCACCGTGAGGATGACTTTTGTTTGTCCAGTTAACCCTTCTCCACCCATATCTGCTGCTTGTACTGTCAGAGTGTACTGTGGATATTTCTGTTAAGATACAGGGACTGTTAAGGTAGATCAGCTCATCAGCAGGAAGGAGGAAACACTAACATCAGTTTACAGACTGTAACGCAGCCTTCAGATGGACTAAAGCTCTTCATCTATGAAGGCCGATTCTGCTGAAAAGCTGAAGCTAAACTCATTTAATATTTTGCTTATGACAAATACCTGCAAACATGATGCTTTTGAGAGGCGTGGCCAAACCTTTTAAAATAAAGTATTCCTTGACCATTTGGCACGAGGCTGTTTGTTGTTGCTCTGTGAAGTCAGTTGCAAAGAGTTTTATGATGCTGCACCAAAAACAGATTGCTCTGATCTGCCATAGTTTGCATGGAAGACACAGATTTATCTGACAAATTATTTGCCAAGTATGAAATGTGTGTCCAGAGTCATGACACAAACCAGAAATGTAGACTGATAAACTATAACTATACTTCAGAGACTGTGTCAAATTTGAGTTTCATTATCAAAAAACAAAACTTTTTTTTGCAGCACCCTCTTTGTGACTGATTTCTAGCAGTGACAGACTACTGATCCGGATTCATTATAAAATGGTTTTTCAGCACTGTGTAAAAGGACACTTGTGTTTTAAATATGTTTAACAAATCTTACCTCTCTGTCTAGTCCTCTACCAGTGACTCTGATGCTTCCAGTAACTGGGTTGATTTCAAACATGTTGTCAGTGGGCAGCGGTGGGTCCTGATTCACAATACGATAGCGGATATCTGAGTTGTCACTATTTGGCTCATCGTTATCTTTGGCTTCAACCCTAACCACCTCAGTCCCTGGAGTGGAGGAATTCAGAAAAAAAGGTAATCAAGAGTAGAGTTTTCTGAAGATCTTCACACTGCTTCATTTACGAGATTTATTAAATAAAACAGACTTGCTGCAAAAAGTCTGCTTATTTCTTTCCAACCCAACACATACCCTGTTGATTTTGGTGTCATTCTGATTTTCTGAATATCTTAAGATTCATTCAATATAGTGGACTTGGTGAAAACTCCATCATGGATAAGAATTATACACAGGAACAAAAACAAAGACCACCACCAAAGAAGTCCAGAGGCAATAAGGTTTCTATACATAC